CTAGGAGTGGAACCAACTGCTGGGCTGCCCCAGGTGGGTGGGGATGGACCTTAAGGGATGGTCATTGAGGGGATGGATCCTGTGGGGATGGACACCATGGGGATGGACCCCATAGGGGTGGTCATTGTGGGGATAGACCCCATGGGAATGGACCCCATGGGAATGATCATTGTGGGGATGGACACCATGGGGATGGACCCCATAGGGATGGTCATTGTGGGCATGGTCATTGTGGGGATGGACCCCATGGGGATGGTCATTGTGGGGATGGACCTTAAGGGATGGATCCCATGGAGATGGACCCCGTGGGGATGGACCTTAGGGGATGGTCATTGTGGGGATGGACCCCATTGGGATGGTCACTGTGGGGGTGGACCCCGTGGGGATGGACCTTAGGGGATGGTCATTATGGGGATGGTCATTGTGGGGATGGACACCATGGGGATGGACCCCATAGGGGTGGTCATTGTGGGGATGGACCTTAGGGGATGGTCATTGTGGGGAGGGACCTTAGGGGATGGACCCCATAGGGATGGTCACTGTGGGGATGGACACCATGGGGATGGACCCCATGGGAATGGTCATTGTGGGGATGGACCCCATGGGGATGGTCATTGAGGGGATGGACCTTAGGGGATGGTCATTGTGGGGATGGACCTTAAGGGATGGATCCCATGGAGATGGACACCATGGGGATGGACCTTAGGGGATGGTCCCCATGGGAATGGACCTCATGGGGATGGACCTCATGGGGATGGACCTCATGGGGATGGTCATTGTGGGGATGGACCTCAGGGGATGGACCCCACTGGGATGGTCATTGTGGGGATGGACACCATGGGGGTGGTCATTGTGGGGATGGTCGTTGTGGGGATGGTCATTGTGGGGATGGACACCGTGGGGATGGTCATTGTGGGGATGGACCCCATTGGGATGGTCATTGAGGGGATGGACCCCATTGGGATGGTCATTGAGGGGATGGACCCCATGGGGATGGTTATTTTGGGGATGGATCTTAGGGGATGGACCCCATGGGAATGGACTTTAGGGGATGGACCTCATGGGGATGGTCATTGTGGGGATGGTCATTGTGGGGATGGTCATTGTGGGGATGGACCTTAAGGGATGGATCCCATGGAGATGGACACCGTGGGGATGGACCTTAGGGGATGGTCATTGTGGGGATGGTCATTGAGGGGATGGATCCCGTGGGGATGATCATTGTGGGGATGGACACCATGGGGATGGTCATTATGGGGATGGTCATTGTGGGATGGACCCCATTGGGATGGTCATTGTGGGGATGGTCATTGTGGGATGGACTTTAGGGGATGGACCCCATTGGGATGGTCATTATGGGGATGGTCATTGTGGGGATGGATCTTAGGGGATGGTCATTGTGGGGATGGTCATTGTGGGGATGGACCGCATGGGGATGGTCATTATGGGGATGGTCATTGTGGGGATGGACCCCATGGGGATGGTCATTGAGGGGATGGTCATTGTGGGATGGACCTTAGGGGATGGACCCCATGGGGATGGTCATTGTGGGGATGGTCGTTGTGGGGATGGTCATTGTGGGGATGGTCATTGTGGGGATGGACCTCATGGGGATGGTCATTGTGGGGATGGACCCCATGGGGATGAACCCCATGGGGATGGTCCTTGTGAGGGTGGACCCCATAGGGATGGTCCTGGAATGCTCCACACCCCTTGCATGGATGGACCCCTCTGACTGGGAGAAAAGGGGCTCTGACCCCCTTCTCTTCCCCTGCAGCTCCTACCTGAGGTGTGAATGCTGTTGTTGGCACAGCCCTGGGTGTTTGGGGGGTGGGACACACAGGACACCCCGAGGCTGGGTGGGTCCCCTAGTCCTGGATGAAGATGGACTGGACCCAAAAACTGGGGCTGGATCCCAACTTTTGCAGTTTGTGATGTTTGTGAGCTCCCCACTCAGGGACCCCCTCCCAAATGTGGGTGCTCATCTGGCTCCATCCCTCTGAGATGGGGATTGGGAATTCTGCAGGGTCTGAGATGGGGAATGGGATATGGGGTCTGAGTTGGGGAGTGGGATCTAGTGAGTGGGAGTGCTGCAGGGTCTGGGATGGGGAATGAAATTTGGGGTCTGGGATGGGGAGAAGGATCTCTGGGGTGGGGATGGGGAGCACCAACAGTCCACCCCTTCCTGGGGTGGGGACTGACCTTCCCCTCCGTGTCCTGTGCAGGTGCCTGAGGGTGACACACACGAGAGGAACTTTGGACCTGCGTGCTCAGCACCTGCTGGAGCCATGGGGAGGGAGCTGCCACCGACCTGCTCCTCCTCCTCCTCATTCTCCTGGTACCAAACACGCCAGAAAGCTCCAGCTGGTCGGGCCACACCTCTGCCTTGGCTTCRATCCCGTGTGGAGACAGAAAAATCAACGCCTGTGGAGCTTCGGGGTGTGCTGGCTGCCTCCAGATGTGGCGTAGGGGTAGAAACCGTGCTCAGCCCCCTCTCCCCGTGCCAGAGCTGAGTGTGAAAATGCTTCCTCCCTGCCTCGCCACCCTTCTCCTGCTGTTACTCCTCTCCCAGTGGGTGCGGGCAGGGACTGAGGGTGACCCTGCTGGTCACCCTTGTGCTGGTGGCTGGAGAGTTCTGCCAAAGCACCAAGCTGGAGGGGACGCCCCAATCTATGCAACTTCCTGAGCAATAACGCTGCCCTCACCTCCTTGCAGTGTCTCAGCTTCCTTGGGGATCCCCAGCCCAGCCCCTACCTCACCCGTGCCACTGCTGGAGCTTCTGCCATCAATTTGTCCCTGTCCCAGCCCTCTCTGCTCCCCAGCTCTCGCTGCGCTTTCCTCCCTGCTCAGGCACTGTTCCTGCGTCCCCCCCACCCTCAGCGTGGTGAATGACTGATTATATTTTTAATAAAGATGTATTTTTTATGTCCTGAGCCTCATTTGTTCATCCCACTGTGACCTCAGGACTCATCCATTTAGGGGAGGTCATTCTGCCACGGTTGGTGTGTGGGGACACAACAGCCCCTGGGTGACATTCCCTGTGGCAGGACCTACAGTGGCCTTAGGCTGRGCTGGGATGTCCCCTCTGGGGACAGGTGGCCTTCCCAGGAGCTTCCCTGGGGACAGATGTCCTCTGTGGGGACATCCTCCTCCGAGCAGCCCTGGCCATCCCCGTTTCTCCAGCCCCAGCTGCTCCCGTTTCTCCAGCCCCGTACCTTGCCCCCGTTTCCCGCAGCCCAGCAGAGGAAGCTCCCTTTGTTTGCTCGGCTCCAGGATTTTCCCTGCTTGTTCCTGCTCTGAGCTGCGGGGTGGGGAAGGGACACTGCAGGCAGCTCTTGGGGCCGATTCCCCGCTGGTTGCTCCTTCGTGCCTCAGTTTCCCCATCCGGGAGCGGGCCCGGTGCTCTGGGGGAGGGCTCTGCGGTCCCTCCCGCCCCTCCTGTGGGCCGGACGGGGCCAGCACCGGGCGCTGGGTTGGGCTGAGCCCCACCGGTTCCGGGGCAGCTCCAGCTGAAGCCACTCCAGCCGCTGCTGCTCTGYGACCGGGAGGTGAGTCAGGGACCCCTCTGCTGCCGGACAGCACCTGAGCACCCCAAAAATTCAGCTGGGTGGGGGTACCCTGTTCCTATAACCCTCGGGGATCTGCACCCACGGGGYGTGGGGACCCGGTGTCATTGGGGCCACCCCAGCGCTGTCTGGAGCTTTCGGGGGYTCTCAATCTTTCTCCCACCCCATAAATGCCCATCCTGGGGTGGGGGTCCCACACCCGCTCAGACCCCCACGGAAGCTCTGCCATCTCCCGAAGCTGCTGGAAGGGTCTCCATCACCCCGTTTGCCCCATCCTTCCCCACCTTTTTTCCTCTCCCGTGAACTTTCCCCGGGGCATCGATAAGTGGGGCTGGGTTTACAGCCCTGCGCCCCAGCTGTAAAGAAGGGGTGAAGGTCACCCCGGGAACGTGACTGCGCTGTCACAGGCAGGTGAAAGATGGGGGACAGCGGGGACAARCAGCACACGGGCTTTCGGGGGTGAYCTGWTAGGGAACCGGGGCTCCCCTCCCCGCCAGGAAGGAGGGAGGAAGCGGAGGCTGAATTAATCCCTGCCCCAAGAACAGGATCCAGGTGTCCGCATTTCCTGGCCGGGMCGCCGCTTCCCGACAGCGTCCGGCTGTCCAGGGGTCCGGGACACCTCGAGAAGGTGTCCCCTGTGCCTCTGTGGGTGTGTGGCCACCTTGTCACCCATCCCCAGGGACCGGAGCTGGGGGGAAYAACCAAAATCCCAGAAACTGCCGAAGAGGGTGTTTTGGGGAAGGGGCTGCATGTCCGTGGCTGCAGCCCCCCTCTCTGGCGTGTCCCAGCTGCCCCGGAGCTGCCCGGCCATGGAAGACACCGCAGCGCTGCTGGACGCCGAGGCCGTGGGGGATTTGGTGCTGCTGGATCCGCTGACCGAGGAGTCGCTGCTCCGGACGCTGCAGGAGCGGTTCCGCCGCCAGGATATCTACGTGGGCAGCGGGATGGGGCGGGATTGGGATGGGGAGTGGGGGGGTTGAGGGGGTGGGAGTGGGGTTTGGGGTCTGGGATGGGGATTGGGTGGGCTGCAGTGTCTGGGAAGAGGAATGGGATATGGGGTCTGGGGTGAGGAATGGGATATGGGGTCTGAGATAGGGATTGGGAGGGCTGCAGGGTGTGGGATGGGGCATGGGATATGGGGTCTGGGATGGAAATGGGATATGGGGTCTGGGGTGGGAGTGGGATACGGGGTCTGGGAGGGAGATTGGGAGGGCTGCAGGGTCTGAGATGGGGAATGGGATATGGGGTCTGAGATGGGGACTGGGAATGCTGCACAGTCTGGGATGGGAGTGGGAAATGGGGTCTGGGATGGGGATTGGGAGGGCTGCAGGGTCTGGGATGGGGAATGGGATATGGGGTCTGGGAGGGGAAGAGGGATATGGGGTCTGGGATGGGGAGTGGGAAATGGATTTTGGGATGGGGATTGGGAGGGCTTCAGGGTCGAGGATGGGGAACAGGATATGGAGTCTGGGAGGGGAATGAGTGAGCTGCAGGGTCTGAGATGGGGACTGGAAATGCTGCACAGTCTGGGATGGGTAATGGGATATGGGGCCTGGGATGGGGATTGGGAAGTCTGCAGGGTCTGAGATGGGGATTGGGATATGGGGTCTGAGTTGGGGAGTAGGATCTAGTGAGTGGGAGCACTGCAGGGTCTGGGATGGGGAGCAGGATCTGGGGTCTGGGATGGGGAGAGGGAGAACTTTGGGGTTCAGAGTGGGAACAGGGTATGGGATCTGGGATGCAAAGTGGAAGTGCTGCAGGGTCTGGGAGGGGGAATGGAATTCGGGGTCTGGGAAGGGAAGAAGGATCTGGGGTGGGGAGCACCAGCACTGTGTCCTCCCACCCCTCATCCCCACTATCCCACAGACGTACATCGGGAATGTGGTGATCTCGGTGAACCCGTACCAATCCCTGCCCATCTACACCCCGGAGAAGGTGCAGGAGTATCACAACTGCAGCTTCTTCGCCGTGAAACCCCACATGTGAGCACGGGGACGCCGGGGTATCCCACCTGGGCAAGCCCAAAGTGTCAGAATCCAAGAAAATCCACTTGGGACAACACCACAGCAACAATGGGAGGGTTTGGGCATTTCCTGAAGCCCCCAKATGGTTCCMAAYCCCTTTTATCTCCAGCTACGCCATYGCTGACGATGCCTATCGYTCRCTGCGGGATCGGGACAGGGAYCAGTGCATCCTCATCACYGGCGAGAGCGGTGCYGGCAAGACGGGTAGAGCCAGGGGGCATGGGGGGCACTGTGAGGGGCTGGTGGGGCGAGGGGCCCCACAAATGTGACCCCCGTCCCCCCTGGCAGAGGCCAGCAAGCTGGTGATGTCCTACGTGGCGGCCGTGAGCAGCAAAGGGGCGGAGGTGGACAAGGTGAAGGAGCAGCTCCTGCAGTCCAACCCCGTGCTGGAGGGTGAGTGTGCCCCACATCCTGAGCCCCACATCCCAGAGCTGCCCCCCAGACCCAAAGTGACCCCCATCTTCCTCTCTCACAGCTTTTGGGAACGCCAAGACTGTCCGTAATGACAATTCCTCCCGATTCGTGAGTGACCCAAGGGAGGGGGTTGGACCCCCTGATGGGGTCATGGGGGCCCTGATGGGGCTGGGAGCACAGAGGGGATGGGGATATGGGGTTATGGGGATGGGGATATGGGGATATGGGGATATGGGGATGGGGATATGGGGATGGGAAGATATGGGGATATGGGGATATGAAGATATGGGGATATGGGGATATGAAGATATGGGAGATGGATATGGTGATATGGGGAGTGGGGATATGGGGTTATGGGGATGGGGATATGGGGATATGGGGATATGGAGAGTGGAGCTGCCACTCCCACCAGGACCCCCTTCCTGACCCAGCCCCTTACCCCAGGGCAAGTACATGGACATCGAGTTCGACTTCAAGGGGGAGCCCCTGGGAGGGGTCATCAGCAACTGTGAGTACCCACTGCCTCTCTGGAGGATGGATCCCACTCCTCATGGGGGTCCCACTCCTCACGCCCCTCAGTGACACCGACCCCTCCCCTCAGATCTGCTGGAGAAATCCCGCATCGTCCGGCACGTGAAGGGCGAGAGGAACTTCCACATCTTCTACCAGCTCCTGGCCGGCGCTTCGGCGCAGCTGCTCCGTAGGTCCAGACCCCGCAGCGTGGGGGTTTTGGGGAAAAAATGAGCTGGGGAAGAGAGGAGGGAGCCATGGCTGAGCTGCCACCTCCTCTCCCCTCTACCAGAGCAGCTGAAGCTCCGCCAGGACTGCGGTCACTACGGGTACCTGAACCGGGAGAGCTCCAGCTTGCCGGGCATGGACGATGCAGCCAACTTCCACGCCATGCAGGTACCTACAGAAAGACATGACCCTCCCACCCCCCAGACATCCTGGAATCCATCTGGGCATGGCCCTGAGCTGCTGTTTCCATCCCCAGGATGCCATGAGGGTCATCGGCTTCTCGCCCGCCGAGGTGACGGAGCTGCTGCAGGTGACGGCCGTGGTGCTCAAACTGGGAAATGTCCAGCTGAGCAGCAGCTTCCAGGCCAGCGGGCTGGAGGCCTGCAGCATCACCGAGCCCCAGGGTAGGGATGGGGGTATGGGGGGTGATGAAGGGCGTGGGGACCCCTCCTCAGCCCCTTCCAGGTCCTGGGAGTGCCATTTCCCCACGCAGAGCTGCAGGAGATCTGTGAGYTGATCGGGTTGGACCCTGGCACGCTGGAGCAGGCGTTGTGCTCCCGCACGGTGAAAGCGCGGAACGAGACGGTGCTGACCACCCTGACCGTCCCCCAGGTGAGCAGGGCCACCCCTGGCCATGGGGCTGATGCCCAAATGCCCCTCCATGAGCTGCTACCAGCCTCTCTTTCCATTCCCCTCTCCCCAGGGCTACTACGGCCGGGACGCGCTGGCCAAAAACATCTACAGCCGCCTGTTYGACTGGCTGGTGAATCGCATCAACACCAGCATCCAGGTGGGCTGCAGGGCACCCTGGACATCCCCAGGGGGACCCTGGACACCCACAGGGACCCTGGACACCCACGGGGACCCTGGACACCCACAGGGACCCTGGACCCCCACAGGGACCCTGGACCCCCACCCCACACAGGGCTCAGCACCCCGGTATCTCCCCAGGTGAAATCGGGCGAACAGAGGAAGGTGATGGGTGTCCTGGACATCTACGGCTTTGAGATCTTCCAGGTGAGCAAAGGACCCACCAGAGTATGGGGAATGGTGGGTGGGATGTAGGGAAGGGCCAGGGGCTCGGGAAGCACCTGCCACACTGGAACCCTCCTCCTGCAGGACAATGGATTTGAGCAGTTCATCATCAACTACTGCAACGAGAAGCTGCAGCAGATCTTCATCCTGATGACGCTGAAGGAGGAGCAGGAGGAATATGTCCGAGAGGTACCTTAAGCACGGCCCCGAGGAGCTGCGGGATGGGGAAGTGCCGGAGACGGCTCCACCGCTCGTCCCTCCCTCACCCCGCTCCCCACCGGGAGCAGATTCAATGGCAGGAAGGGATTTGGGATCCTCGTCCTCGTGGCCGGACGTCCGGTTCCTGCCCCACATTATCCGGAGGTGTCCRTGGGGCAGGGGCCGGGCAATCGGTGTGTCTGACCCTCCCATCTGCTCTCAGGGCATCCAGTGGACCCCGGTGGAGTTTTTTGACAACACCATCATCTGCAATTTGATTGAGAACGTGAGTTGTCTGCCCAGTGCTGGCGTCTTGGGGTTCCAGCTGCCCCCATAACCCAAACTGGGATTTACCGGGGCCGGTTTGGGATGACCCCATTCATCGTGGCACAGAGCACCGGCGGGATCCTGGCCATGCTGGACGAGGAGTGYCTGCGGCCCGGCGTGGTCAACGAGGACACTTTCCTCACCAAGCTCAACCAGCTCTTCGCCACCCACAAGCACTACGAGAGCAAAGAGACGCAGAACGCGCGGCGCGTCACCGACGCCAGCCTGGCCCCGCGCTGCTTCCGCATCCACCACTACGCCGGCAAGGTCCGGCAGCGCCTGATCCTCTTCCCAGTACCCTGATCCTCTTCCCAGCTCCCTGATTCTCTTCCCAGCTTCCTGATCCTCTTCCCAGTGCCCCAATCCCGATGCCCCAATCCTCGTCCTAGTGCCCCAACCTTCTTTCCAGTGCCCTGATCCACTTCTCGGTGACCCCCAATCCTCTTCCCAGTGCCCCGATCCTCTTCCCAGTACCCCGATCCTCTTCCCAGCTTCCTGATCCTCTTCCCAGTGTTCCCATCCTCTTCCCAGTGCCCTGATCCTCTTCCTAGTGCCCTGATCCTCTTCCCAGTGCCCTGATCCTCTTCCTAGTGCCCTGATCCTCTTCCCAGTGCCCTGATTCTCTTCCCAGTGCCTCGATCCCAGTGCCCCAATCTTCTTCCTAGAACCATAATCCTCTTCCCAGTGCCCCAATCCTCTTCCCAGCTCCCTGATCCTCTTCCCAGTGCCCCGATCCCAATGCCCCGATCCTCTTCCCAGTGCCCCAATCCTCTTCTCAGTGCCCTGATCCGCTTCTCAGTGACCTGATCCTCTTCCCAGTGCCCTGATCCTCTTCCCAGTGCCCTCATCCTCTTCCCAGTGTCCTGATGCTCTTTCCAGCTTCCTGATCCATTTCCCAGCTCCCTGATCCTCTTCCCAGTGCCTCGATCCCAGTGCCCCAATCTTCTTCCTAGAACCATAATCCTCTTCCCAGTGCCCCCATCCTCTTCGCAGTGCCCCGATCTTCCTAGAACCATGATCCTCTTCCCAGCTCTCTGATCCTCTTCCCAGTGCCCCAAATCTTCTTCCCAGTGCCTCCATCCTCTTCCCAGTTCCCTGGTCCCCTTTCCAGCCCCCAGACCTGTTCCCAGCACCCCTTGATCCTTTTCCCAGTGCCGCAATCCTCTTCTCAGTACCATAATCCTTTTCCCAGTGCCCCAATCCTCTTCCCAGCTTTGCA